CAATAACCGTGGGTTATAGATCATTGAATCATAAATTTTGTCAATCGCGAAACCTTTTGACAATGCGTCGAAATGACTAAATGGAAAACATTTATGGTTAATTGCTCATGAAATCATGAATTTTGACCTCTAGAAAATATTTTGCTAACGGGTCAAAACAATTAAAAATGGTCAATAATAATGTATTAGTGTTTTATGAAATTGTGAATTTTAACCTCCACAAAATTATTTACTAATGGGTCAAGATAAATAAAAAACAACAAAAATTCTATGTCATGAAATTGTGAATTTTTCCTTCATAAAAATATATGCCAATAGGTTGAAATGACTAAAAATGGCTAAATGATGATTTATAACTCATGAAATCAAGAAGTTTGGACTCCACAAAATTATTTGTCAATAAACCCAAATGATTAAAAATGGCCAAAAATCATAGGTTATAACTTATGATATTGTGAATTTCTAGTCATTTCGATTTATTTTTTTGCTATATTTAGTTTTTTTGCTTAAAATGATCATGCTCATGATATCGTGAATTTTAGCCATCATGAAACCATTTGATAACGTATCAAAATTACTAAAAATGGTCAAAATTTATGGTTAAAGCTCAGTAAATTATGAATTTTGGTGTTTGAAAAATTATTTGCAAACATATCGAAACAATTAAAAATAGTCAAAAATAATGTGTTATGGCTCATGAAATCATAAATTTTGGCATTCTCATAAATATTTGCTAACAGATCAAAATGAATAAAAGTAGCAAAAAATTATGGGTTCTAACTCACAAAATTGTGGATTTTTTCCTCCATAAAAATATTTGCCAATGGGTAAAAATGACTAAAAATGACAAACAATTTGTTATAGCTCATTGAATCATGAATTTTGGCTTGAATGAAAGTATTTTCTAATAGGGAGAAATAACTAAAAATAACCAAAAATCATGGGTTATAACTCATGTAATCGTGTAGTCACCACAAAATTATTTTCTAATAGATTGAAACAATTAAAATGACAAAAAATCATGGACCATAGCTCATGAATTGTGAATTTTAGCCAATGTGAAATTATTCAAAAAAGATTGAAATGACTGAAAATGATAGAAAATCATGGGTCGTAGCTCACAAAATCATGAATTTTGGCTATCACAAAACTATTTGATAATGAGAAAAAAATGAATAAAGATGAAAAAATTATTGGCACTAGCGCATTAAATCATAAAATAATTTGTCAACAATTCAAAATGACTAGAAATGGCCCAAAATCATGGATAATAGCTCACAAAATCGTGAAATTTGACCATCATGAAACTATTTGACAATTGGTCAAAAAACCTAAATATAGCAAAAAATCATCGGTTATAACTTATGAAATCATGAATTATTGGACTCTGTGAATTATTTAGCAATGGGTTGAAACAACTAAAGTTGGCCCAAAATTATGGGTAATAACTCATGAAATCGGAAATTTTACAGAGTTGAAAATTCATGACTTTATGACCTATAATCAATAATTTTTTATAATTTTTTCTCATTTTGACCCAATGTTAAATAATTAAACACGGCTCAAAATTCATGATTGCATGAGTTACAATCCTTAATTTTAGTCATTTTTGCTCGATTCGGCCAAATATGAGATAATTAAATGAAGTTAAAAATTCATGATTTTCATGAGCTCTCACAATTTTTATTTAATTTTTATTGTTTTGACCAAATGGAAAAATTATGAGGATATTATTCAAGATTTTATGAGCTATAACCCATGATTTTTATCCATTTTCTCTTATTTTAACTCAATGATAAATAATTTGCAATTTCATGAGTTAGAATTAGCAAAGTTCAAAATTCATGTTTTTATGAGTTATAACTCTATAGGATGGAATAATTTTTGTTTCAAAGCCTAAAGATTCTACTAGCAAACTAAGTAGACGTTTGACCTTTTTCAACTTTGACACCGTGAAGTTCTGTTTTAATATCTTTGAGCTCCACTTTCTCCGAACTTCTGCAGTTTTACATTAAAACACCTGAAGTCTTCTTCTCCCCTCCCTCCCTTGCCTCCTCAGCCCTTATCATCTCCCTCCCGCCGCTTCTCTATCCCCCCCACAAACACGGAACTAGGGAATGTATTGGTTTTATTGGATAAGTGTAACAGGCGGCCATAATACACCGACTCCTTCCTGCTCTCATACTCTCTCCTCTCCTTTTCCCCTTCATTTTCACCTCGTCCTCTCATCCTTCCTTTCACCAATTCAATAAATTGTTTTAAAGAAACTTATCCTTCAATTGTTAGGATAAAGTCCATATAATGGCTCTTGTTTGAGTAATAACAAACTCTCATTTAGTACTAATATTTATTTGAGATGATATAGTACAGGTAAAAACATGTATATGAAGGTTACAAAGCGAAATAACCCATCTATAAATCTGCTATTGTGCACAGTACACCATCGATAGTTCAAGGGGCCATCTACGGTTCCCTATAGTCCATCGATGATTTAATTTTAACTTTCTATGATTTCTTTAGTTGTTCAGTGTAGACCATCGATGAGCCTTGACCATCGATGGTTCACTGTAGATTGCTGAAGGTTCTAAGGCTAAAATCAACATAAGATTATCTATGGCCAACCATCGATGGTGCTCAGAGAACCATCGATGGTCGGATTGCCTATTGATGGTAACGACGTATTTTGGCAGATTTTAAGAGTTAATCAAAACCGTTCATTGACCCCTTTCCTCTAACTTCCACTATGATTTTAATATCTCTTTCATTATTTATCAGAGGCTATATAAGATAGGAAAAGATTATATTTTAGAGAGGCTCTATGCTTTGAGAAAAGGAGAGTTTTTTAAGAGATTAAAAAGAGAGAATTTATTCTAGGTTTGTGAAGAATATTTCATTTGTGATTCGAAACTCCAGAGCCTCCTCAAACTCTTTCTCATCGTGTTCAACATTTTCAAATCATGTTAGTGAGGAGAGCTATCCTTGAATTCAAAATCATCATAGTTTCTTCATCAAGCTTCGCTTCAATCTTTTGAAGAACGGTTTGCTTAGAAAAAATGTTGTAAGATCTTTTTAATTTGTGCTTAAACTATTTTGGTAGCTTTGTTTATCTTGTTTTTACGACGTACTTAAGCCGGTGATAATTGAGGGTTGGGACTAGTTAGAGCTAGGTGTTACTCATCTATGAGGAGTTAGGTTATACAACTGGTTTCATGTAGATTTTAGGATGTGATCTTACAACCTAGTTATAATGAGGAAGCCCCTTCGTAGGAAGGAAGAATGGACGTAGGATTGTTATCCTAAACATTATAGAGATCTCACATTTCCTGGGTTGTTTTTTGGTTTGGCTGTTCGCTTTTATTTTTTATATTTTCGTTGCATATTCTGTATTTTAGTGAAAAACTATAGCAAACCTATTCCAACCTCCTCCCCCCCCCACCCAAAAAAAAAAAAAAAAAAAAAAAAACACCAAAAAAAAAAAAAAAAAAAACACAAATCCCCCCTTTTCTAGGCTTACACCTCAGATCTAGCATCAATTGCCTTGAGACGGGTTTGAGGGGACAGGTGAAAGGAGGAGGAAGAAGTTGTATAAGATGAGGGTGAGCGTGGTTTAATGGAAGGATAGGAGGTGAGGATGGAGAAGTTAAACAGAGGGATAGGAGATGAGGATGCGAGAGGTGTAATGAAGGGAAAGGAGAAGAGGGGTGGAGAGAGAAGAAGAAGGATGATGATATTTGTGGAATTCCAAAAAGAATATGAGCAGGATATGCCAGAATGTATGACATTGCAAACATGTAAGCAAGTTTAGATGGTTTCTATATAAAAAAAATGATAAGTATCAATTTGAGTAAAAGTAAAAGTGATTTGCATGTGAAAACTCTTTAACTTTATTAATATTCTTAAATTGCACCCGGCTAACTTCCCTGGGTCAATCTCCATAGGAAGAATTCTGCATTTTAGACTCCACAAATTGCGGTGATCTCAAACTTACACCAATCAAAATTTGTGCAATTAGCAAAAATGATAAAAATGTATAAACAAACTACTTTCAGAGCTAGAATGAGAAAATGTGGAACGAAGATAGCCCTTAGTTAAAGTAAAATGATCAGACCTTCAAACTGTTACAAAACCTTGTTACAAAACGAATATAGTCTGTTGACGGAATAAAGTATTAGAAGAGAGAGTTTGTAAATAAATAAATATATAAAAATAATAAGATTACATGTGAAAGGAATTTGCGTAATTTATCAAATCCAATATAAATGTGAAAATTACTTTAAAATAGAATTTCAAAAACTTGAAAGCTCTTCTAAAATATCAGAGCCAGGTTTCGATCCTAGGACCTGTGGGTTATGGGCCCACCACGCTTTCGCTGCGCCACTCTGATTTGTCTAACAACAACCATTGTCTTAGCTATAGATCTAAAATATAAGCCAAATTCCTGAGTAGACAACCCATGACCTTGGAAATATTAAAAACTATCGAAATATCGAAATTTAGCTATAGATCTAAAACATAGCTAAATTCCTGGTTAGACAACCCATGACCTTCGAATTATCGAAAACTATCTTGAGTTTAGGTGTAATAAAAAAACTCTTTCTCAACTTTAAGATATTTTTTTAAATAAAATCCACCTAATCTTAAATGCAATATTTACATGAGTGGGTAAAATTACACATGAGGATGTTTTTGCTCGTAAAAATTAATAAATTATGATTCACGCTCTGAGAGGATTTCTTGGGGGAAAAAAAATAGAAAGCTGAAGAGAGGTGTCAATAGCCCCCAAACTTTGAAGGGTGGTTTTCTGATACTCTGAAAACTGGGAGGGGCTATACGGTAATCATCCAAAATTATGGAGTTCTGCCGGAATAAAGTTCTTCAATTGGTCAGAATAATGGAACATGTCCCATTTGATGGGAGAACAGGTGCCAATTATTTGAGGACCCCAAAATCAATAAAATCCAGGGGTAAATTCGGAATAAAAGGTTTTTATCGTCAACGGATTATTACAACCGAATATCATGAGGGGGTGCTGACGAGGATCCAAAGGAATCCGATCCAATTTTGCTTCACCAAATTTACGTCCAAACTTTCCATTTCTCAGCTCCCCTCGATTCTACTCTATAAATAGCAGTCCTCAGAACGAAACCCTAAAGCCCCAATTTTTTTTATTATTTCTTCTCTCATTTTCGTCGAATTTTGGGTTGAGGATCATGAGGGACGATGGATCGAAGGTCGAGATCTCGTTCGCTGGGAGGTTTGCGAGCAGCGCGATCGCCGCTTGCTTCGCTGAGGTACGTTCATGGAGATCCAATCGCCTTTGTTTGTTGATTTTTCTTTTTTTTTGGAAAATTGCAGTTACTGGAGGAATTTCGATCTGCATTGTTGAGTATTATAGTTGGTTGACTTTGTACTTGATTCGTTTGGATCGTTAATGCTGTAGTTTTCTTAGTTACAGGAGCTTAAGCAGTCTGTTATTGATTAAAGGATTATTTGCATTTTGGTACTCCAAAGTTTCACCCTTTTGTGCTTTGATGACCTAAAGTTCTGTTTTTGACAATTTAGTGCCCTAACTTCCTTATCACTTTTTTATGAACTTAAAATTCGGTGGACAATTTGTTACTCCTTCGCTTTTCTAAGTTGATATTCTTTATCAAAATCAAGATCGACTTTTTTACACTTAGGGGTACCGAATTGTCAAAAGAGAACTTTCGGGTATCTAATTTACGAAAGGGTGAAACTTCAGGCTATTAAAGTGAAAATAAGCCGTGACTAAAATGATGGAGAAAGAAGTTTCCTTAAACTACTTAGTTTATAAAAGGTAGCAAATTTATTCTGTCTCCCTTTTAAAAAAAAAAGAAGCTTACTATTTTTTCTCTTTAGATTTTTTTTTTTTAAATTTTTGGTGGTTGAAGCTCTCTTAATTTTGTGACACTGCGTAAAAGATTTAATAATAAACTAGAGAAACTATTCACGTAGTTCAAGAAAATTTGGAGGCTGGGGGGTCCCTATCAATCATTTGAATGAGTTTGATCTAAATACGATAGAAATGAGCCTGAAAGAATCACAAAAGATCATAATTGGCCTATCAATCTCCTACCAATCAATTTCTAGACTAATAACTACATGACATATCAGTCAATAAAAAAAAATTAGATAACCATATTTAACTCGTAGAAATAAATACTTGGTTGCTTACAGATAGAAAGTTAACACTTTCCAAAGGGCACATATGCAGCAAATATCTTTTGAGGGTACTAATCTTGAAGGGTGTATGCGTAAAAAATCACCTGAACCCACCCCCAAAGGAACTTACTTCTATAGATTCACAAAGTAGCTATATTTTTTTCATGATAACTAAAAAAGTGTTTCGCTCATTAACTCAGTGATGGTTTTCGTGCAAAAGCTTTGAGAAAAATGACATAATTCGAGAACTTCTCCAATTATTTGGATAAGTCCATGATCAGATCTAGACCAAGTTCTAGATTAAACACTGATTATCATTTTCGGATCTATTGCAGGTCTGCACCCTTCCCCTGGACACTGCCAAAGTCAGGCTTCAGCTGCAGAAGAAAGCAGTTGTCGAGGATACACTGGCATTACCTAAATACAGAGGGCTGTTGGGAACTGTCGCTACTGTTGCTAGAGAGGAGGGTTTAGCCGCACTCTGGAAGGGCATTGTTCCGGGATTACATCGTCAGTGTATTAATGGAGGGTTGAGAATTGGATTGTATGACCCGGTAATCCCAGCTATCTCCTTAGATCAACATTAGATGGATCGTGTTATTTACAATTTATGCATTACAACGTTTAGAATATGGATTTACTTGGCAGGTTAAAAATTTCTATGTTGGCGATAATTTTGTTGGAGATATTCCTTTAACCAAGAAAATACTTGCTGGGCTTACAACTGGTGAGTACGGAAAATTGGTACGAGAGAACGACACTTGTTTGCTCGTCTTTATACTTGTTCTTGACATATGAATGTGTTGTGTATCTATAGGCGCACTAGCAATTGCCGTAGCAAATCCAACTGATCTAGTGAAAGTACGACTTCAAGCCGAAGGGAAGCTTGCTCCTGGTGTCCCGAGACGTTATTCAGGAGCTCTAAGTGCTTATTCTACAATAGTCAAGCAGGTTTTGCTTTGAGACTTAACTTATTATCATCATTGTAGCAAATTTAACATTCAGCTGAACTTATCCTTAGTTTAAGGTCTGCTGAGTTTATCTTTACCTTGTAGGAAGGAGTGGGTGCTCTATGGACTGGGGTGGGTCCTAACATTGCACGGAATGCTATAATAAATGCTGCAGAGTTGGCCAGCTATGATCAAGTGAAAGAGGTATAGACAGCTACTCATCTTTGTTTTCTGTTTCCTCTTTCTTGTTCCATATTTTTCACTCCAATCATCATGTCTGCAGACCATACTGAAAATTCCGGGATTTTCAGACAACGTTTTCACTCACCTTTTATCTGGTCTTGGGGCTGGTTTTTTTGCTGTCTGCATTGGCTCCCCTGTCGATGTGGTAAACTTTCTTCAACAGTCAATCCCAACGTTATTCTAGTGATTACTATCTAAAGGCATTGAGTGTTTTGTACAGTTAGCAGTAAACTTTACCATTGTTCTCATTTTACTAGTAACATCTTTCTTGGAACATAAGAATTTTTCCACATGTTAGCATGTAGTGAAAATTGGCATATTTTTGGACTTTAGACATGATATCATTTCCATTTTGCTGTACTTCTTTTATTTTTAAGGGGTATAAGGATAAAAGGCAGAAATGACAACTTACCAACAATATACTACATTCTTTTCGCACTTTTGATAGCATGCGGCTCAAATTAATGGATACTTCGCCATGATCCCACTCCCTAGTTGAATCCTTTGTTATGAGGAAAGGTTGTTTCAGCATGTATTTGTGTTTTTACTCTCAAAAGCATGCTTCTTTCATTAATACCGTATAGAGGAGGCATTCTCGCTCTAATGTAGAAAGGTCATCCACCACAAGAGACCTTCTTGAAGAAGCTTTAACTTATTAATCATGGTTGGGAAATACTTCTGTTCGTTCAAAAATTATTCAAACTTCAAAAGTTTTTCCATCTTTTCACACCCTAGCTCAATCCTTTCTGAAATGTTCTGGTGAGCTCACCAGCATAAAGAGTTATTCATCAATGACTACCATGTTAGTTGTAATATACCTTCAAGTTTATCCGTGATATAAATTAGAAGAATAATTTCACTGTAATTTGTTCAGTTTCATACAAAATGATATGTGATTATGTTTCTTTAGTGCTGTATGTAAACTAACGTCAAAAATCATTTGCTGCTCCATTATTACATTGCCTTTGAGAAGAAGAAATTTTAGCATATATGTTACTCTTCAGCTGAGCAAAAAGATGTTCGTTTTCAGGTTAAGTCAAGAATGATGGGAGATTCTGCCTACAAAAGCACACTCGACTGTTTCGTCAAGACAATGAAAAATGATGTATGTTCTTCTCATTCATCTTCTTTCTTTCATTGCTATCACAAGGAATTAGATGTTATGATTTTTTGTACTTTCGACCGTGTTTTGTTGTACCGTGTATTTGATTCTTGTGACTTTCCAAATTTTATCAGTTAACCCCTTAGCATCTATAGTTTTCTGGTTAGTTGGTTAGAAACAAATTGATGTATACACCAATGTTGAAAGTAACGATAGTATACAACATAATTTCTCCTGGAAAAAAAAGGAAAACATACAACATAACGCTCTCTCTCGTGAGGTTAGAGGGCATATAGCATAACACATAAAATCGGTTACTTGTTTCCTAATTTAAAACAAAGGAAAAATAACCGTAATGATTTTAATAAATAGGAGCATGATTTCAGATAAAAAATTAAAATATTTTTAAAAATAAAAAAAATTAATTTAATGCATACTAATTTACTAACAATTCCCATAATAGATGTCCGAATATATCATCACAAATTCACATATCTTGTCAAATAATTCACATTCTTCACAAATTTTAAGTTCACAATCACCAGCATATCACGACATTGAGAAAAGCCCATCAAGGGTTAACAAACAATTCAAAAGTAAATATTGAAATATTAGGTCTTACACAAAGCAAAAGAAGAAAATACTTTCGAGGTTCTACTATAAATTATATTGAAATAACATAGGTTATACTGCAATAACGCATGTTATATCAAAATAGTGTACACTATATTGTAATAACGTAGAGTTACTGCGTATTTGAGTCATTATAAATGTTACACAACATCTAAAGTTTTTCAAGTTACATAACGTGAAATAACAACTTAGGTGATGCATGTTTTTTTAGTATTGGTACACGCATTACAGTCATCATTCATATCCTTTCAGTCATCAGACTTCAATGGCCCCTTTTGCTGCGTTCCATTCTAAATGAGTGCTGGTATACATGCATTGTGCGCATCTTAGAATATTGCATGTGTGATGTCTGTAGAAACAATTTGTATATTCATATGCAGTCATCTACTATTAGAAATATAACAACTGCTACCTACAGGGACCATTGGCTTTTTACAAGGGATTCATCCCAAACTTTGCTCGGTTGGGCTCATGGAACGCGATTATGTTTTTGACCTTGGAGCAGGTAAAGTGATAACAAGTATTTCATAATTTAGAACTAGAATTTATCTGAGTACTGGTCTTACCCTTCGTGACGTTATTGTTGGCTTTGGCTGACAGGTTAAAAAATTGTTTGCAAAAGATGTGCATGCATAAAACATGAGTATGCAGTGAAGAATTTAGCGTGCAGCAGAATAAAAGTTTCCTCGTGGCGATTTCATTTGCCAGCATGATCTTGGCAGCTCCGACAGAGGGTATCATAGTAACTCTTGTGGTAAAACACCGCAACGTGTGTTACGACTTTCTGACAGATTTGAGGGACCTTAAATTTACCCCCAACAAATTATGGGGAATACAAGTGAGAATGGACGCTATTGTTGTCCAATCTTGCTTGCTACTGGTAACATTTACAAAAGAAAATAAGAAGGGGGGGGGGGGGGGGGGGGAAATGGCTGGAAAAGGGCGGGAGAATGTAAGTTTTGGCTAATTTCAAATTTTACTTCTGATTACTGAAGGATTTAGTGCATAATTCCAGATATTTGTTCTAGTCCGTGGATCACAGTGATAAATGACTTATGTCTGGCAATGGAATACCATATTGTTTCTCACTTCTTTAGGACGGTATGGAAGAGAATAATGCTAAGGCTACACTCTCCTAAACTTCTTTCACATTGCGAGAGAGTGAAAAGTTGGCTTCATTATTGTGTCATCAATTTTGAAAAAAAGTAAAAAAGAATGGAGCCCGTTACTTTTCTCTCTTGCAATGTGAAAGTAGTTTAATAGTAGTAGTTTATCACTACTCTATAGAAAATGGACGTTTTTAAGGGTATACTGGCTGGATCTTGGCGTGATCAGAGAATAAACCTTAGGTTTTAGTTAGTGTTATTGATTTGAGGAAAAAAACTTTCTTTACTCCACAGAAAAGAATACATTATCTCTTTAGAAAAAATGCACATATCTTTAGAACCACCTGCATGCGACATATCTCATCAGAACCATCCGCATGCGAGCAGAATTTCTAAATCATTGATGAGTGGGTTGAATTGTCTTTATTACCCCTCTACCCCACTCATCGATGATTCCGAACCCCGATTGCATGTGGGTGGTTCAAATCAGCATGTACGTGGTTCTAACAAGATATGTACGTGAATCAACATGCGACTGTTCAAGC